CTCACAAAGCAGGCCTTCGAGAACTAACCAGCAATCTGCGTGGCAAGCATTTCGTTGTCATGTTGCTCACTATTTTCTAATGCCGCCTCCCCCAAATTTATATTGACCATTTAAGCAAACATAGTTGGTGGGGGGGGGGGGTTGGGCGCTAGTAGCAGTAGTAGTAGTAGTCGTCGTCGTCGTAGTAGTAGTAGTAGCGGTAGTGGTAGTCGTAGTAGTAGTAGTAGTAGTAGTGGTGGTAGGAGTAGGAGTAGGAGTAGTAGAGTAGTAGAGTAGTAGGAATAATTGTTGTTGATGATGATGGGCTGGTGTTATTATGGGTCAAAAGGTAGTACATGATGGGTAACTAGCTGGCTGTTCTGTTTTTTGCTGAGGGTCTGGAAAGCCTACCAGCAAAGCCAAGCAAGGGCTTGGTTTTGCGCCGACACCCACATGCTAAACATCAAACGCAAAGATAGCGAATTCAGATGTTGGAAAGGTTCGCTTTGCTGTTCTCGAGCAACGATCTGTGATTTCTAGCACCGGCCTCAGAAATATACAGAGCTTGCGTGCAGATTGCGTAGCATTCTGCGGAATTTAATTCTCCCAATGTGAGCTTACCCAGATGCTTTTTTGGAACATGCTGGTAACCCCCCTCCACAAGAATAGCAGGGGTCACATAAATTTGCCTTCAGGGTCTGGGGTCTAAGCGGGGACCAGCAGGGTTGAGGTACTGTATCTACTCTTTCGCGTGGCATTTGAATCTTGAGCCTCAAGGATCCTAAGCATCTATCATGGGCATCCTCAAATAAGAATTGAAGAGCATATACGCCTTTTCATGGAAGTTCCTTATGACAATTTTTGTTTAGTCCTCAACACATTCAATACGCAGGTCCCGGGCTCTTAAGGTAAAAAACCCTAATACTGACTGTAGTCAGTAATATGTTGAACAAGCGCGTCTGGGTAAACAGCCCCCCCATCGATTAAGGATCCTATAGTAATCACATGATAGCCATAAGCTCCTCATGTTGGAAGCTGGGGGTCAAGGCCTCCTATACCGGGTTTAGGGTTTAGGGTTTAGGGTCAGCCCCACAGACATAAGCCCAATGTCTCCCCTGTCCATGAAGTCTTCAGGTCACGTGGAGAGCCAGGCTACGGTCGACAGCGGCTGGAAGCTTAGAAATCCGATAAACTCTAACGGGTTGTATAGAGGAAAAATAGGGGGAATATTGGCATAATGGACGAGAAAATTGAAACTGCTATTTAGAGTTTAGAGGTTAGTTTAGAGGTTTAGAGGTTAGGGTGTCCCAGTACTCTTATGGAAGTGTCAGGAATGTTTACAGGGATGGCATGGATTCAGGAGAGTGTGGGCATGATGTAGGGACTACGTACTGATTGGCGGGGATTATCTGAGGATATTGTGTGTGCTATGTAGTGGCTGCATGAATGTTCTGTTTTTACTAGACACGGGTCATTTTGGTAGCGCCTGTATGCGGTTGTAGTGGCTGTTCGAGTTTATTCGCAGGATCTGAAGAGCGCATGGCCGGTTTGCAAAGAGTTTTGACGGGATTCTTGACTGTTGTTTGTTGATAAACTGTCCATGTTGATGTGAGTACTGACTTGTTGTTGCTGTGTGCGGTTGTTAATCCCTGCTGCTTTGGCCTAGCCTGAGATCTTGGTGATGTCATGAAACAGGCTTAGGCGAACACATTGATCCCATACAAAGGGCCTAGCTGGGTAAGACCTTCCAGCAGCCCTTGTAGACTTACCTCAGAACTTTAGTTCATCATATACCCTTCAAGAGAACTCTTTGAGGTGCAAGCTCTCCATCAACATCTCAGCTGCGCGCCGCGCAGCTTCGAGCTTTGGCAGCGCACCCAGACTTGGGGGCTTTGGGTTCGAAGTTTGGGAGACCAGGGCTGAAGGGCTTTGGGTTGGTTTGTTTGGTGATTTGGAGCTCCTGAGAAGAAACCTGATATGACCCGATGTACAGCTCCCCTAATATGTCATATCATATATTATATTATATGATCTTACATTTTATTGTCTTCATTATACTATATTGTATTACATTATACTCCTCATGTGAACTCCCCTCCTTAGGGACCCCGCTTCCGCAAACAGCGCCAAACAGGATTGAAGATTGGATTTCATAGGTTTTGCAGAAGCTGTCAGAGCCCCATTTCAGGTCAACAAGTAGGTTCAGATGGTACAGGGGTCTCAGGTCTTCAAAATAAGGACTATAGTATTTTGGGGTCTATATTGGGGTCATTTTGCAAAACTACCATTTCAGAAAGAGCATAGAAGGCTCAATGTAACAACATAGAACTTGTATTGGGGTTGCAGGGGAGCTTACCGAGACTACGGGTGTTTCAGTGGCACCCTGCTGTCGCAGATGCTGGAAGACCGCGTGGCCGAGCTCCGATCGGCAGTTTACGAACTGCAGGCCTCAGCATTTTGCTCAAAGTTATGGTCCCCCTCTGGGACTAGCATCTTGAAGCTTCAAATTGCGAAGGAGATTTTGATATAACAAAGAGCAATCATGATTGTACTCTAACAGCGGCCCAAGGATAATCGAGATTGTTGCTGAGGCGGGTAAGTAAAAAAGGCATAGCTACGATCACATTGTGGAGCTGGATGCTGCAATCGCTTCTCCCTATGGAACCCCCTCATATTCATACCACTTCCCCAATGTTCAAACTCCTGAAAGACTGTTAATAAAACGAGCAAAACTTCTTTCAAAGGGACCAACCCATTGGCTGTAAAATCACAGTTGATTAGGGGTGTTGGTTTAAACTGCGCTTATTTGGCTCGATTTGTACGTTCTCGCAGTTGCTCGCAACAGTTTGACAAGAGCTCAGGCAGCTAAAAGTTGGATTTTGCCCAGTCAAATACGCATTGTGCTACAAATGTGGAATCTTGTAGGGACCACATGCTAGGCTCTCAAGATTGCAGCTTTTCTCTGGGACAAGATTGCAACTCCCGCTGCCGCTGCTGTTCCTGCTGCCGCTGCTGCAACAAATCCAACAACTAGTACTAGCACGGCCGCTACCCCAGCCACAACTACAACTACAACAGCAGCAGCAGCTGCTCCTGCTGGTCTACTGCAACGGACACGAACAAACGTGAAAGTAATGAGAACCATGCTGACTATGCTATGCACAATTTAATATTAACTCAAAACCTTAGGAGCCATATTGACGGCATTGAATTCCTTGGTAGCCACACTGATAGACAACTGTCGACACTGTGGTGTCAATGAAAACCCTGGACTCAGTGTTTCCATCATGTCCATGGCCGTCCTTACCGTGAAGCTCATGCAGATATAATGACCTAAATGGCACATTATTTCCAAACCAACTTTCATGCCCTGGCAGTCCCGGCTCAGCTTGCTCTGAGAGGTGTGACTCGGCTTAGCGTGGGATGGGTGAGGTTGCATGCGGGTTTAGCGAAACTTTGGATCTTCTACGGATGTTATGGAGTTTGGCAGTGCGACGCCACCGTGTCAGGCAACCTGCCCGAATATCCCTTGAGGAAGGCAGAGCCAGCTGTCGGAGAATGTCATGGAAATAGGGGAGTATGTCCCGGATGTGTAGGGATGGGGGTTCATACAGGTCCGGAGCTTCTTCCGATCGGTCTGCCTTTGGTTTCACACGGAAAGGATCTTCGCTGCAAGCAAGGCTCCAAGTCGTTGCAGCCACCACAGCTGGTTTGCGTGGTACATCCTGCTTCCCCGCATCTCTCATTGAAGTCAAGATGCTCTGCCGTGTGTTGGCTCGGCAGCTGCTGTCAGCCGGATTTGGAGCTGAAATCCTAGTTTCCAGTTTTAGGACGTATCTTACAGCGGCCGCTCGGGAATGCATGGATCGCAGAACCTCCCAGCGTGCCTCCTGATGAATCTAGGGCGTGCTGATCTTGCCAAGGAAGGCCCCGATCGAAGTCCTCATCCCATTGACAGATCCCACGCAGAGAGCTCCAAAGGGCCTTTCCTGGAGAGATCTTTTCACCGGGCCTCCTGCGAGCCTGGCCTGCCTTCATCTGCCTTCTTGAGGGTACCAGACAGTCGCTCAACGGCGGACGCAAACAGAAAAGCTTTTTCGAAGTGCGTGCAATGCGTTCTCTTGTGGATTCTGTGAGGACTCTAGCAGGTGGGATCCTTGCCATATGACCATATGACGGCTCGTAGACGTTCTTACTCTTTGAGCGCACTCGCTTCTGCTTTGATAGCCTTGCGGATCGTATTCAGAGCACTTGCTGTGCTGCTCCAACCAGCCAGCGGCGGTTGTGCAAGCTTTTACTCTAACTAAAGCAAGACTGGCTGCTTTTGCCTTTGTTGCTGTCCATCCTCTGCCATTTTGGGCTACTGCAGTAACTTTTCTGTTTCTTTTCCCACCCACCTCACCGAAATACAGTTGTACAATGTTGTACATTATGTACTTGTACATGTTTGGTCCTTTGGGCCCCTGAAAGACGAGCCAGGCAGACCGGTAAGCGAGTGAACTCCCGTCCCCCGGCCAAAACGGCAAAAAAAAGGAAAACACGGCCCCATCCCAAACAGCAAAAAATGAACACGCCACCCGCCCAAACAGCAAAAAAAAATACGCTCCCGCGCCCAAACAGGAAAAATCAACACGCCCCCCGTACAAACAGCAAAAACTAAACGCCGCCCGCCCAAACAGCAAAAAAAAACACGCTCTTGGCCCAAGCAACGCTGTTTGGGCGGGAGCTGACAATCAACTTCTGCCGTGGAGAGATGGGGGAACAACCGGAAAGCCCAAACAACAAAAAATACCAGACAACAAAAAAAGTAAACACTCTTACCCGAATTGTTAGGTGCTGCAGATGCCTAAGTTAAGACCGGCCAATGCGCTCGCGGCCAACAGGCTACGACCAATCTCAGGATTTTGGGCGCTTCAGCGTTGCAAGGCTCAAGCTGGCTCTTTTAGAATTGTTTAAGCTTGCGAGCATGCTTCGCGCACTGCTGATCGCCGCATGCCTGTTGCCCACCCGTGCAATGCCTAACACCACGGGCAAGATATGCCAATGGGGCTGCTATGATGAAGAGGATGAAGCCTGCCATGCAGGACTCACGAACATGCAGTGTGCGGAGATTTACGGGCATCTTGTCATAGGAAACGTGTGTGTGTGTGTGACCTATCTACAGGGTTAGCTGCCCATAAACGACTTCTTGCATTCGAGGCACGTGGAGTGGCTCCAGGTCTGCGACTGCGTCGACTTGGCGACGGGCTTGCGTGACAACGTCACGGTCGCAGCGCCGCGGCTGGAGGCTGCGAATTTGTACTTCTCGGTGCCTGCGTTCGTCGTGCTCTTCCGCGAGAGTTTGGAGGTCGTGATCGTCCTGGCCATCATCATGCAATTCTTGACCAAGATGAAGAACCTTGACATAGTGTGATTTGCAGAGAAGAATGAAGTCACTTGAAAGGTAGGCGTTTTGGGATGTAAGGAAAGACGGTCTCCTGGAGCCGGCGCTCTTTTACAAGTTTCGCCGCGAGGTTTACATCGGAGCCTCCATGGGCTTCGCTCTTTGCCTGGTCTTTGGTGTCGGCTTCCTGGCCTTGGCCTCTTTGACCTACCAGCTCCCTGACAAGCGCTGAGTTCTCGTTAGAGTTTGTCCTTGCTCCAATTATGATGAGTGCTTTGAAATACAGTAGTTATGAGGCTTTTTGAGGGCGACAACGAGCGGGTCTTTCAGTTCTGCATGATGAGTCTGACCTGCATCGTGTTGACCTTCCTCGCTGTCAATTTTTACAAGATGATCTACTCCAAAGAGGCGCACGAGCGGAAGATGAGGCGGCAGATGGAGGAGACGCTCGAAGCTACCCAGGCAGCCGCCGGTGGGGAGGAGGTGGGCTTTGGCAAGAAGCATGCCTTCTTCGTTCTCGCCTTCACCACAGGTCTACGAGAGGGCTTGGAATCAATCGTGTTCCTCGTGGGGGTCATCTCAGATGTTAAGGATCTTAGCGCCTTGCCCCTGCCGATCATCACTGCCCTGATCTTGGCCCGAGTCGTCGGGTTCTGCTTCTTCCAGGGAACAAAGACAGCTTGGGATCAACCTTGCTCAGCTTGAGGGTCTAGCTGTAGCTCACTATAATGGCTCCCTGTGACAAGACACTTCAAGATTCAGATATATTCAGATTCTCAAATCCTAAACATCACTGGCGGCCAGGAGTCTGAAAGTCGATTGGTTCATGCGCGTCTCGGCTGTCCTGCTCATGTGCATCGCTGCGGGCTTCTTCTCGGCCTCAATGCATCAGCTCCAGGAGCCAATGCTAAACCAACCTTTCAATCCATCCCGAGTTAATTCCGATCACCATTCCATAGTATCAGATCAGACCTTGCTAGACCTTGAGGGTTCCTCTAAAGGAGCTCGATGTCTTTGGGACGTGGAGTCCAAGAAGCGAGCGGCCCTGGCAGAATGTGAATGTTTGGGACGCAACCGTCTGCTGCAATGACAAAACGAATCGCTTCTTCGTCCTGATGCGGGCTCTCTTTGGCTGGCAGGATCAGGCAACACCGATTGAGATCTTTGCGTACATCTTGTATTGGATGGTGGCGATTGCCATCGTCACCTGCATGGTCTTGCGTGCCAAGAAGCAGATGCAGAAGATGGTGGAGCGGTGGCGCTTGGAAGACGAGCAGGCTGCTGCCAAAGCACAGGAGGCTTGGCCTGAGACCGCAGAGTCCTAAGCAGACCTCCACCCCCTTTCTCTATTGGCTATTCAGGCATGTCATAGCACAGATCGTTTTTTCTTGAATCGGTCGATTTTGGGTGCAGCTGCGCTGCCCCCCGGCCGTGTACACGTACGTGCCAACCATGAGCAGGTTGTGGTGGTGGTTGTTGTTGTTGTAGTTGTAGTTGTAGTTGTAGACGTCAACCTGCTCATCCTCAACAGATTTGTTAATGGCCACGTTTCCAGGAACCTAGACGCCTTAGGCGCTGTGTACTCGTGGTCGTCCGGATTTTTTTCGTCCTGATTGGGCCTGTTGAGTGCCGCATGCCGCGAGTAGCTTCAGTCCCCTTGTCCAACCTCCGGCCCTTGAGGATGTGGGCATGCCTTCAAGTGCAAACTTTAACAAACTTTAGCTTTGAAAGGCCTGAGAGTTATTGCCAACAATTACCGAGATGCAGACGTGCCCTTATCATCCATCAGAGTTGTAAAGGACTGGTAGTCCACCTGCCGGGATTGGACAGAAGCCTTTGATTTATAACTGCACGCGGCAAGCTGAAGCTTGCCAGATTGCCTCCTGCTGGCATTTTACATGCACCGCGGCTCTTGGTTTTAAAGGCTTCTACATTTGAATTTCTTCGCTCAGTGCTGAGCCTTGCCCAGCGCGCTCCAGCTATGCGCCGAAAACCAGACTCAGCCGTTCTGAACTTGGATGTTGGAGCTTGGAGGTGTGTGTTCTGGATCATGAATGCATTGCATCGACGGTGCAGGTTGGGCTTAAGGCAAGATAAAGAAGTTAAGAGCCTGGAAACAGCGCAGTGGTCCTCTGCAAGACGGCGCCATGCACTTCACACTTTTGGCATTGATGGTTGCAGGTGCTGAGGCAGGGGCCTGCACCCCTGTGGACTCCTGTCCAAAGCTCTCTGACGGGCTCTACTGTCCTGTCAATGACGTCACGGAACATGCAGACATCAATCGGGATGTGGCGCTCATTAAGTCGTACTTGGATGAGACTCCCCTGAACTATGCCATGGCCAAGGAGGTCTATACGATGGGCAACTTCTCTTCCAAGGGCGCAGGGAACATGCGAACTCTTCAAGACCTGGCGCAGAAGGACATGACCGTCGGTGGAAAGTACACCAACGTCTCCTTGAAGAAACAGATTCACCCCCAAAGGAGCGTGCTTACAGTAGCGCATAGCTAGCATTGCTGCTATAGTTTTAGATGGGGCTTAGGATTTGTGAAGGAATGAGAGCGTAAGGTTTTCTACAGCGGTGCCGTCAGCTTGTATGGCTCAACGAATGCTGTGTGGCATGACTACATCATCGCATGCTTGGATGGGACCGGTGTCTGCAACGGTAAGACCGACTCCTTCCGGCAGTACGTTGTCAACAAGGCTCTCATAGGAGTCGTCACCGCCTATGCCACCTACGAGTTCGGTGCTGCTGTTTGGAAAGGTGCAAATGGGGAAACTGCAGATACTCAGGCAGCCTATGCTTGGGACGAGGGTGCTGCCTTCTACATCGGTAACATCGCTCCAGTGCTTGGCGATGGCTACACAGGATCTGCGCCCGGAAACCTTTATTCGCCCTACGAGTTCAACTGGAAGCGCGATATCGACTTTCCTGATGGCACCTCGACGCACACGGAGGCCGTCCCGATTCTGAACTATGGGCTCATTAACCTGCGCGGAGCTGCCTACACTGCTGCCAACGTGAAAGCAGCAGAGTTAGGCATGTACAAGATTTTCTCCATTGCTGCCATCCGGAGCGCCATCAAGTATGCCTGGAAGGCCTATAACGGCGGCACCATGGAGCCCAAGTATCTGGCTGAGGGCTGGGCCTACTGGCGCAGCGCTTCCGGCTACATGTCGACCTTCAACGCCACGACTGTGCAGGCCGTGGATGCGCTCTTTGACTTGAACCTCACAACCGTGCCGGAAAACACAGCCTGCACCGTGAAGACGCTGGTGGAGTCCTTGTGACCTGGGAAGCAAAAAGGCTTATGGGTTGGCTCGTCGGGAATTGTGACCTTCACATGTAAGTATCAGTATCATGTACACCCGGGTCTCTAAATTGCAGTGGGCTTGAATGTGCCGTGACGGTCTTGGCTCTTCTTGTCGTGGGCGGACTGCGCAACTAACTTGTCACAAGAGGTGATTCCGAGCTCAGGTACCCGGATCTCGGCATCACGTGCGCTATGGTCGGGAAGTGGAAAGATGCACCAGCAGGGGGTTGTTTGGACTCCGTGTGTGGCTCGCTTCTCCAATCCTTGAATCCTTGTGTTTCTTGCCGCTTGGTGCAGTCCTAACAGTTCTAGACACATCCTTCCCTGGCATTGGAGCAGTCAGGTAGCGACACGGGCAACTCCGCGACGCTGCTGAACGGCTCAACCGCCTTTCCGGATATGTGCAAGGAGCGTCTTTCCTGGACGTCGTGGCTATGGGGTGTCGCAGTTGTATCAAGGGAGAAAATAGATTTCTGGGCATGAGCAAGCAGAAGTGAGGCACGAGGCCCAGGAACTTGGCAAGGCCTTCCTTTACTTAATGGGGGTCTGTGTGAAACATTACTATTACAAAAGACTGCTTCTGGGGAGGCCACCACGACCACAACGGCGATGCAGGGCACCTCCGGAAGCCTTTCTCTAGCACTTCCATCCATCTCCATGGCTGCTGCAATGAGCTTCCTCTGAGGGCCTGAATAACTTCAGACCCATGTAGCAATCGGGAGACTGAACCGTTTCAGCGAAGGACGTATGCACCACGAGGAGCTGTGCAGCTTGGCCAGCTCGAAATATTGCAGAGGATGCTGAAAGTGCATCCCCAGCAATAGTTGTTCAATGTTTGGCCAGGTATGCCGCACAAGGCTCTGCAGCCTTTCGAATAAATGTGTAAAGTACCGGAAGATTGCTGTGAGGAAGTTGGCAAAAGCGTCACTCGATGATTTGTAGGGATCTTGAGGCAGAAATCTTCCGGTTCAGGAAAGGCACAAGAGTTGCGCATACAATGGCCTGACCGTACTTGGGACGCGCACGCGCAAGGTCTTCTGTGTACTGGAGACCTGTATTGAAATTGTCATCGGGCCTGTTGAGTGCTGCATGCGCGAGTAG